GGGCATTGCCCATAAACTTTTTTTTTTTTTTTTTTTTGATATGGTCTTGTTCTGTCACCCAGGCTGGAGTGCAGTGGTGCGATCTCGGCTCACTGCAACCACTGCCTCCTGGGCTCAAGCAGTTCTCTTGCCTTAGTCTCCCAAGTAACTGGGATTACAGGCGCATGCCACCATACCCGGCTAATTTTTGTATTTTTAATAGAGATGGGATTTCACCATGTTGGCCAGGCTGGTCTCGAACTCCTGACCTCAAGTGATCTGCCAGCGTTGGCCTTCCAAAGTGCTGGGATTACAGGCATGAGCCACTGCGCCTGGCCAAACTTTTCATAAAGCATCAATGATTTTGTCATTTTTCCAACCATGCCTCACCATAAATTTGATGTTTCTCACGGTGTCAAGCCCAGTGCTTTGCACAGTGATGCTGTTCTATAAACAATTATTGAATGACCCTTTTGTTCAGTCCTTGTTCACTACTGAAAGGTGTCATGGGCTTAATGACAATGGTCTTTTCAATTTTATGGAACTTGTAAGTTTATAAAGCAGTAACCTATAAAGCTAGATTGCAAAATCTGTTAGGGTAAGAGTTGTTTCTCTTTTGTTTTCCTCTCTTTCTTACATGTCTGGTATGTTGCTCATTGAGAAATGTTTGTTGAATGAATGTCTTTTATTTTTCCTCAACTGATTTCACAACAACTGAATGAAGTAGGCAGGCAAAGACAGTTTGTCCTGTGTTATAGATAACACAATCAAAATTGGAATAGTAATAACTTGTCCAAAGTGATGCAGTTTTAAAATGGCATAGCAAGGACTTGAACCTCAGACCTCAAGACCAGTGTGCCTTCACCTACATAGAACTGTTTCTAATTTAGATCTCAAGCCCAATTTTGCCTTATGTTCTTAACTTTTATAATCATTCCTTACAGCCAAAAAAAAAAAAAAAAAAAAAAAAGCACTTGAGATACGTGTGTGAGCTTTAATTTTCTGCTTCAGTTGTAAACTTCCTTTTAACGAGTGGTATTATCATCTTGTAAGTTCATTTGGAAAATATATATGAAAGTCAATGGATTAAGTTCAGAAACTTAAGTAATTTCTTTCTCTGTAATACTTTATTTTTGACTGTTCTGTGGTTGCCATATTTAAGTAAGGTAGATTAGCCATTTCTTATGCTTAAAACAATTTCTTTTTACTCTAAGTATTAATATTTATAGAGGATCAATATATTATTTCTTTGACTATTGTTTCCTTTTGCTTTAGTCTCTAGAAACTTTTGGCATTGTTTCAAACAGACAATTTAGGGACACTAAGATCACACTTGGTAATATAATGCTTTCCATCAGGCACTTCTTGGATACCCTTTTGTACACATACTGCTGCGAGTATGGGATTTCTTTTCATGCTACGGGTAGCACCCAGCACCTTGTATAAATGCATGAAATACTAAATAAGAAAAAAATGATGACTGTGGAGCTAGCTCTTGTTTTGGAGCAATGCTACTTGATGTTTTTAAATTACGGGAATTAGTAGGCTGCTGGAGCTTTAGAGTTATTTGAATCAATCGATCTGATTACGAAAGGAAGCCAGGGCGTTGGCATTGAGGGCGAGGAAAACTTTGTTTGCCAGAGCCTTGGCTGCATTTTTTTTTCCTGCTGTTTCAGCCTATTTCTTCGTGTCTTTCTCAAATTACTCCATGAATCTACATAATTTACATGAACTCATTGGATGCATAATTTGTATAGAACATTGGCTTAGATTTATTTATATATGTATTGTCAGGAAAAAGGAGAAAAAAATGTATCTGGGAAAAGGGACTGCTGAGACAAAGTAGACATTTCCCTGTTGCCTTTTCTATGCTTCTCTTTCTTGCAAAACAATTTGTCAGCTATTTTAATGTGAGATGAACAATTATAGTTTCTGCTGTTTTATTTGATGGGTTACTATTATTATTTCTGAGCAGAAATAATTTGATGAGAAAACACACTCTGGGAGTGTTGACAGTGCTTACTTTCTCAATAAGTGTTGGGCTTAGGGATATTGTTTTCCTCCACCCATTCTTATCTTGTATGTCCAAAGTTTATTTTGGGTTTAGTCTAATTCACTGAGCTTTTTAAAGTTTGAGTTTGGTTTATAATGAGTTAAAAAAAAGCACACAGGAAAAATTCAAGGTTCAACAAATTATTCTGGGGTTTTTGGCTCATTTTAAATTCCCACTCAAAACTTTGAATAAGTAAAATCCAGGAGTATTAAAAATCTCTTGAATTAATTGTGCTTCCTTTCCCCAACTTGTCTCCAACTGGGAGATCATTTATGTGGAGAAATAATCAATATAAAAAAATTATCATGTACTGAACAAATATAGAAAATCTTGGAGGTTTGTTTCAATGATTAACCATTATGGCCTTTTAAAAAAATGTTCAAGTCAAGTGAATGCTCTTTAAAATCTAGGCCTCAACCTAACTTTTATCTTCCGTACTTCAGCATCATTTGCAAAGTAAGATTATTGCTTTCACTCTTTAGCATCTTTAAGTGTAAATGTGTGCAGGTGGGGGTGGGGTGTGTTCAATAGGGAGCTAAGCCAGAGCTACACCACAGGTTTCATATGACCTCTCCTTGACAATTAATTGTTTTTGTAAGCAAAAAAACTGCTTAAATGAATGAAATTATCATGGTTTTACAGTATTTTGAACTCTTTATTATCAATAAATGGAGGATGTAATTCCTGATAACGAAAGTTCAAGCTGAACTCTCCATATTATACAAACTCCGACCTTTAGTTAAAATATTCTTATGATGTATTGTTACTGGATTTTCTCCATTACTTCTTTGGCCATGGGCATATTACTGGGAAGTGTTGGTTTTCTGTGTTTTTTATTTTGAACACTCTTTACAAGTGTGTTTGCTCTAAAGTTCCCATTTGGAGCTGTATAATGTTCACAGAGATAAATATGAAGAAGAAATATTTAAGAAGTAGAGCTAATATTTCTTAGGGAAGACAAAGTGCAGGTGCTAAAACATGCTTTAGAGTTAAATGGATTTGTCAGTGAAATAGCTTGTATTATTTAAATCATAGATAAAATTACTTAAATTTTTTAGAATCTTAAATAAGGTTTTATTTTGATTTGAACATAGTGAGAATGAACCAAGAAATGGGCAAGGCACAGAAATGATTATACAATACGATAAATATTTCATATAAAGGTCATTAAAATTATGTTGAAAGAAATTTGTTTATTGTTATAAGTGGGGAAAATGAACTGATTTTGGCTGTTTGAAGTGTTGGGTAGAATTGGTTTCCATGTCAGATTCTTAAAAGACTTCCTGTCCTTTGGGGCCTAATTCAAATTCTCTTACATCTTCTACGTGGTCTGAGTCCCTCAGTCAATATCAGTGAGTTTTCTGAGTTTTCACCAATGTTACCTTTATCTGTTTTTTTTTGCATTCTCTTTACTACCTTGCCTTGTGTTAGAGTTAATGACAGAGTAGAAAGAACATGAACGTTGTAATAGAAATCCAGTTCAATCAAACTTTCTGAAACCCAGTTTACTCAATTGTAGAATGAGAGGAGAAATAGGAACTCCTGTGGTTCTTGTGAAGATTCAGTTGGAAAGCATAAAGTACCTGGGGCTGAGCAGGCACTCAGTAAGTGTCAGTGTCCATCTCATTTCCGAATTTCATGTCTAGTTTCTCCAATGGTCTAAGTTCCTTCAGGGCAGGAAATGTCTTTTATATTCATAGTTCCTTGTGCATATAGGTTCTAAATGATTATTTGTTGAATTTAATTTAATGTCCTGTCATGGAATCTTAGCACTGTTATTTCCCATTTCTTTTCCCTCTGTCACCTTGGATTGAGATAAACATGTTACTTTCATGATATTAGGGATTTAATTCAGTAGAATGCCATTTTAATATGATTTATTTCATAGAGTTTGATATAGGAAGGGTCAAATAATTTCCCTGGAAACTTAATTATATTCTATAAAATCTTATTAGCCTGTCTCATGGCATCATAGTCACAGTGGAGTTCTGGTGTGTTTAAGATGGTCAAGTCTCTATCTGGAGAAATCTGTCTAATGGCACAGAGTGAGAATATGGGAAATAAATGACATAAAGAGAGAGCAAATGCAAATGTCTTGCAAATTACATTACTTGACACTTTCAGTCACTAACCCTCCAAAGTATGTTCTAATTTACTAAAATAAACCAAGAATCCAATTTCTTGTGAGCTTCCTTTGCTTAATTAATTATTAGTAGCAGACAGCATTCTGTAGTTTGTTGCAATTTTTCACCTTTGTACTTATCTAGTACCTGATTTAAAAAGAATGGGAGCATTCTGATTCAGCAGAACTGATCAGAACTCTCTATCTGCTCATAGCTCATCTGTGTTATAGAGCAAAAATGAATAAATGTTTGCTGAACATGCCACATATGCTTTGATCATCAAAATGTTAAGTTTTCCTTCCTTCTCAAAATACAAGCTCTGAGAGATCTTCCTTGCTGAAGTTTGTTAGGTAACCTATTCTGCATAGATATTATTATAGAGGCAAGCCAGATCCCATGCCATTATAGCAAAATATCATGTAAGCAACTACATTTTCATAAATTTGTTTGTTTCTATGATTGAAATGTGAGCACTCTTTAATGCTTCCTCATTATGATTTGAAATTATACATTCACTGTGCTTTTTAAAATATTTAAAAGCAGAAGTGTATCTTAAAAGATGAACTTTCTTTTTTATTTTTTTAAACGAAGTATGCTCTTTTGTTAGAATGAAGACTAAACAGGCTTCTCATGCATGCAATAATGTTGATTATACTTAGAATATGGTTTATAACTCTTTGTGTGTCCCTAATTATTTCATTGGAAGATAATTAGCTAGCATTTGTTATCACTGTATTATGAATGGGAGAAACTGAGGCTTATTATCGACTCTTTGTGTTAGCAAGTTGAGAATTTGAGAAAAATCTGCTGCTATCCTAATGATCTGCTTTTGTTTTCAATTTCAGTTTCAAAGGACATTTGAGTCTCTCAAAAATGTTGCCAACAAATCCGACCTCCAGAAAACCTACCAGAAGCTTGGGAAGGAGCTGGAAAATTTGGATTATTTAGCCTTCAAACGTCAGCAGGTAGGGGTCAGAGCTCTCCTTGGTGGAGGAGATGAACACTTTAGGCTTCCTGCCATCCTGCCTGTCACAGGTGCAGGTGGGTCTGAGGAAACTTATCTTCTAATGGTTAGAGCAGAAACAGGTTGTGTTGTGCTGATCTGCTGTGTTCATATGGCTTCCCACAGTGTTCAATGTGGTCCTTGCTTTTAGATGTGTACTTTAGGGGTTTCCACATGTGTCCTTATACCTCGCTTAAAAAAAAATTCCTGCTGGTTTGTGAAAATCCAACTACCCTTTGACTAGGGACGCTTCAGCGGCATAAGGGAAATCTCTATAATGGCTTGGCCAGTTGGCTTTTATATTTGACCTGGGGAGAAAAATCACCTTAAGACCAGGATAAGGTTGTGGGTGTACATGCAATATTAAGGAAAATAGTCATAAATATGCCAAAATATGAATCGATCTTTAGTTTTGTTTGATCTTTGAAGATGAGTAATTTGCTAAGTGTGGAAGATAGAAGGGAAATTTACTTTTCAAATGCACGGTTTTTATTGCCTCCTTTTGTAGGCCCCAAGATAAATAGAGAGCTGAAATAAACTTTTATAGGCTTTGTTTTAGAATTTGTACTTTATAACCGAATATTCATCATGATTAAATGCTGTGTGTTTTGGAGACACTACCACAGTAGCTCGCTACTCTTCCTAGACTGAATCTGCTCCAGTTTCTTCACAGCCACTAGGTGTCAGCATTGTCAAGCTTTTACTTCCACCAAAGGTTTATTCTGATCAGAATTGGCAGTTAGACGTTTAAATGAGGTTGCATGAAATTCGGGAATCTGCTCCATGATGGATAGCGTCTAGAAAAATGACTAAATGTCTGACTTGCATGGCCAGGCATCGAGTCGATCACTTGAGAGACTTTCCTCTTAGCGTAGCAAAGGGCGTGGCATTCTTGCCATTGCCTAATTCACAAGCTTTGGATCCTTTTGGATGAAGGTTTTCAACGCGGAACTTTCTATACTTAGTTAAATCTCATGAAGTCAACATGATATGGTCTAGAATTATTGGGCCAGAAAGAGAATTGTGTTCTAGGTATTGCTCTATCACAGATGTTACATGGACATTTAACCTTTCTATGGTCCTATTTTCCTAGGGGTTATATTTATTTTATAGAATGTTCCAGGACAAATACATTACTTTTGCACATACATTAATTTACATGAAAAAGGATACAATGTCCATTTAAATTTTGTTTTTTTAAAAAATTAATGAGGGTCTAGGTATTAGCACTTGATGGTTACTGAGTGCTACTACAACAAACCCCCAGAGGATGCTGCTTAGCATTCACACCAGAGTCACTCCTCTGGCCTATGCAAGTTTTAGTACAGTTTCGTTTCCGAAACCTTCCACGGAGGGGTCTTTGAGCTGGCAGGCAGTAGTCACTGTACTCTTCTGTTATCCTTTCTCATTAACACATTTTCAGTGATTGGATTCTTTTACTAGCTAATTGTGAATTTGGAAGAAGGTAAATACCTCAAGGGCAGAAGGGTAGAACTCTGGGAGAATAGCATTGAGGATAGGTGGGTAAATTATATGTGCATAAAGAAAAGATGAGCATATGGAGTGTGTGTATATATATATGCATATATAAATCATCTATAGTATTTATTAAATGAAACGCATATGCCACGTGGTATGATTTAAACATTTATGAATGAAATCTTTAAATGCTTATAACAATACAGTGAGCTGGCTTTTATTAGCACCATTTTACAGATGAGAAAACTGTTAAGGAAGTTAAGTAACATGCCTAAGGTCATGGAGCTAATAAGGCATGAAACTGGGCTTCAAATCTAAATCAAGTCTGACTTCAAACCTGGAGTGTTATGTCTTCTTGATGGGCAGGGTCAAAGGGTCAGAACATCAGCTCTTCTCTAGCTTGGTGGGATTTGTCTTTTATCTCTCATTCTATTCCTTTGAAGCTCCAAAACCTGATTAAGCACACACCAGAAAGTGTTTTTCTTCTAATAGAAAAGATTCAGGTCTCTGTAAAATTGCCAATTTAGCAAGAAAGTTTCCTCTTTATAAGACAGTATTCTTTGTATTAGAGAATTAGTCATGGTTTGTTCCCTGGTCCAACCATATTTATCATTCCGCATTGGGACAGAACATAAGCTCCATAAGGACAGGGCCTCGTCTGTCACCTTTAATGCTGTATCCTCTCCAGTGCTCACAACAGTATCTGACTCATGGCAAATCCTCAGTAAATATTATTGGTGGTGGTGTTGCTATGAACAAAGAACCATGCCAAAAGATTTGACCTCAGATTATAGGCAATTAAAATCAATGTGTTTTGCTACACTTTTAAAATTCAAAAGAGCATAAGCCTTTCGCTTCCTGGATACCACGGGCTGAGAGATTGTCCCTTGCCCCTATGTATTATTGAGGTTTTCTCCTAACATATTTTATTCTTCTATCCATTTTTTAAAAGAAACAGAAAATGCCAGTGTTAACTCTGAATTATGGATGTCCAGTGAATGGACTATAATTATTTTATTGGAGTCATCCATTAGGTTTTATTTTCTGTCCCCTTCTATGATATTTTTAACATTTTTGAGAGATTTTTGAGAGATTTATTTCTCGGCACAAGATAGACTACTGGAGTACTTTGCTCCATTCTCTCACCTCTGTTTTTCTGAGGTTACTGTGCTTTCTTTCCTAGGTATGAACTTAGCATTTATTTATTTAAAAGAGGAGTGCCGGTGCATCAGCTATTCCTTGGGTACAAGCATCTCTACATTTTCCTACTTTCAGAAAGACTAACGTTGAAATAGCTTTGATTGGAAAAGGTGAGAGAGGAGGTTGTGATACGTGAGGTGGTGGGTTTACCGGGAGGAGTCAGCCTGAAGTAAACAGATGACAAAGTAGGATTAACTGGAGAATCTAGACACTCTTTTGGTTCTTACTATCAAAAGGCAGGTATAGTCTTGGAGTTTATCTGCTTGAACTGCTTGGTTTTCATCCTTCTAGTTGGTGTGACATAGGAATGGTAGTAGCAAGTTCCAGTTATTACATTGATCCCAGATTTATGTATTAATTTGAGTGCTTATAAATCAGGAGCTTTCCTTAGAGCTTTCATTTTGTGGAGTAAAACAAAATAAGGTTTGATAATGTGGACTCTAATATAATTCATTCCTCTCTTTATCTACCCTTAAAACTTATAATAACATTATAAAACACATCCATTTCCAGAGGCTTCTGAAGTCTTTTGATATAAAATAAAGTTGACATTATTGAGTTGAACATTATATAGACTAAAGCACATTTATACATTGATACAAAAATAAGTAAAATTAAATTATTGCACTTCAGACCTACATGCATGTTGAAACACATCACATATCTGATTATTGTCTCTCTGATCACGGCATGCTATTCTTGCCTTCTGACCTGTCCACAAGGTTTATATAACTTGGTATTTAGAATATACAGCCCCTTTCATTTTACGTACTTAAATCATTCTTTAAAGTCAAACTGAAGTCTAGCCTCCCTCGTATCACCTCCTCCTGTGACCTCTAGTCAATATGTTAACTCTTCACTCTTTGCCATTCTTAGCTTTTATCTGTATCATACATTTTAGCATCCGATTGATGATATACTCATTGAGAATCTATGTAGTACAGTGATTAGAGTGTGAGCTTTGTAGTTACCCAAACCTGGTTAGACTGTTTGTACTGGGCACCTGAGTTTCTTTTTAAAAAGCATCAGAAAAATAACCCCTAACTTAAACAGCTTGCTTTGAGGAAACAATATATCAAGTATAAAGTAAGTCCTATAAAATATGTATAAAGGACTTAACATTGCACCTGACATGTGTTTAGTATAACTGGTAGCTATTATAATGTTTTGTCCATTTTCTTAAATAGGTTGTAAGTTCCATAAGGGATATGGATATGTTCTTTATTTTGTATACTTCTGTGCTGTACATAGGGTCCAGCACTGTTCTGAACATATGGAATAGAATGTTTTTGGACATACATAGTCTAGCAGTTGGTGATCTATGTAACAAAAAGAACATGTTGACACCTCTTGAGAAGGGAGCTGCAACATTTGGTTCTAATATGTTTCTAAGGTGGTGTCTCTTGATGGGCAGTTAATGTACTGAGGACTTGTACTATGACAGTCTGCTGGGGGAAGTGGGTCCAGTGTTCTGGCTAACATCCAATTCAGGTTAATAATTATATTCTATCTACCCAAACTTCCCTTATGCTTCCAGGTATTGTTCAGCACATGATACTTTGTTAGTGATGATGTTCAGGAGTGAACAAGTGCTTTTTTTTCTTTTACTAATTTGGGTGTGTGACCCCTTTTAGATAATTTCAAAGCCAGAAGGGTACATAATACCTTGTAGGATAAAAATTGAATTAAAAAAATCTTTTATATAAAAGAAAAAAATTAGAAATAAGTTAGATAAAATTTATTTGATAAAAATGACTGAGGGTTAACATTCTTCTATTGAAAAATAAAATTCTACTTGTTATCTCTTATCTTTTTAGTGATAGCCATCCTAACAGGTGTGCAAGACAAGAGATAACAGGGGTTGGTGATGATGTGGAGAAAAGGAAACCTTTGCACATTGTTGGGAATGTAAATTGGTATAGTCATTTCAGAAAAAGTATAGAGGTTGCTAAAAAATATAAAATAGAGCTATCATAAGACCTGTCAATCTTACTTTTGGGTATATGTCCAAAGAAAATGGAATCAGTATCTTGAAGAGATAGCTGCACCCCCACATTCATTGCAGCATTATTCACAACAGCCAAGATATGGAAACAACCTAAGTGTCTATTGACAGATGAATAACGAAAATGTGGTATACATATATGCAATGAAATATTATTTAGCCTTAAAAAGGAAGGAAATCCTGCCTTTGCAATAGTGTGGTTGAACCTGGAAGACATTTTGCTAGGCAAAATAATCCAGACACAGAAATACACATACTGTATGGTCTTACTTATATGT